CAGCGTTTTGCTTCGAAAGCCCTGGCGACTTCCACCCTGAACCCTGATTCGGATTTCATTGAAAAAGGTCCCTTACCTTACTCAAACGGGTTCTGAAGTATATAAGGGGTGTATAAGGACTCGCACAAGCAAGGGCTTGTCAGGGCTGATACCGACCTACTTGTTCTGATTAGGGAGTTCGGGAATTAAGTACCCTACGTAGTCCCTTTAAGGGTTACATGGGGAGGATACAAGGCACCTCATTCCCCAACTCCCTAGAAACGAGAAACCCTAAACCCTAAACCCTAAACCCTAAACCCTAAGGGCTAAACCCTAAACCCTGTAGTGTAAGGATAGGGGCGTTAAGGGTTCAGGGTCAGCTCTGAACGCGCCCGGTAGGTCCTTGTTGGAGCAGTCCAGCCTGGTAAATGCAAAGCCGCCGCCTCCGACCTGCACTACTTCGGGTTTAGGGTTTTGGGTTTAGGGTTTAGGGTTTAGGGTTTGGGGTTTGGGGTGGTTTAGGGTGGTTTAGGGTGGTCTAGGGGGGTTTAGGGTGGTTTAGGGTTTTGGGTTTAGGGTTTAGGGTTTAGGGTTTGGGGTTTAGGGTTTAGGGTTTAGGGTTTGGGTGGTTGAGGGTTGAGGGTTCAGGGTGGATTCGGGGGCCCTTCAACACTTAACGTCTGCGGGTTGCATTATCGGGGTATATATGGGGGGGCATTTTGGGGAGGACCCATAGAACTGTTAAACGTGCCCAACTCAACCTCAGCAACCGTGTTCACGGCGTCAGGGTCTTCGGTCCGTTTGTAAGCTTACGCAAGCCCTCAAGGAAGTCAGGTACGCCCGAAACCCTAAACCCTAAACCCTAAACCCTAAATGCTAAGCCCTAAACCCTAACGCCCTCAACCAAGAAGGGCACCCTTTTTTTGGGTTGGCTACTTGTATCAGGGAACCTTGAACCAACAACAGGGTGACTGGGCTACCAAGATATAACAAGCCATGTGCTCTTTGTGTTCCCTAAAGCCTCATTGATTTGACTTCCAGAGATTGGAGCAAGATAGTTCTGACGACGAGGTTATGAGATAACTATGTCGAGACTGTTCAACACTTGTTTGCGGTGGTGCTTGAAACCCCGACAGCCCAAACCCTAAGCCCTGAACCCAAAACCCTAAACCCTGAACCCAACTTGACGCCCTCAACCCTAACCTCCAAACCCAGAGCACCCTAAACCCTTGGCACACAAAACTCCCTGGTTCTTGGTAGGGAATGAGGGAATTAAGGCCCTATATATATATATATACACATATTATGCACCCTTTAAAGGATTATATATGGTTCCTCATTCCCTCATTCCCTACGAAGAAAACCAGCCAGAAAATGTCAAGGGCCCGAACCAGGCCATCGCCCTTGATCCACCTTGCACATCTGAGGAGCTCAGCCCCCCGCCGCTCGGTCGATCTGAGACAAGCTCTGGCTCAGAATCCTGTTGTTGTCTGTGCAGGGTTTTGGGTTTCGGGTTAGGGGTTTCGGGTTTCGGGTTTAGCGTTTGGGGTGTAGGGTTTAGGGTTTGGGGTCTAGGGTTTGGGAATTTGGGTTTAGGGTCAAGCATACTATAGCACTTGCTGTGGAACCCGATCATGCGGCAAACGCGGCGGCCGGGCTCATGGGTGAGTGGGACAAACTCCACCTGACCCGGCGGAGAACTTGGAGTTGGGAGGGGTGGAGTAGCAATCGGGGTTTCGGGTTCAGGGATTCAGGGATTCAGGGATTCAGGGATTCAGGGATTCAGGGATTCAGGGATTCAGGGATTCAGGGATTCAGGGATTCAGGGATTCAGGGATTCAGGGATTCAGGGATTCAGGGATTCAGGGATTCAGGGATTCAGGGATTCAGGGTTCAGGGTTCAGGGTTCAGGGTTCAGGGTTCAGGGTTCAGGGTTCAGGGTTCAGGGTTCAGGGTTTAGGGTTTAGGGTTTAGGGTACTGCAACAGCCTGCGGCTTTCACTCCCCAGCCTCGGCCATCGTGGGCCATCAAGGGGAGGAGGAATTCTCTGCGCTTGAGCTGGCAAGTCCGAACACATCTTTCAGGGTTGAGGCTTGAGGGTTTAGGGTTTAGGGTTTAGATGGGTTTAGGGTCGAGGGTTGAGGGTTTAGGGTTTAGGGTTTAGGGTTTAGGGTCCTCAAAACCCCCCCCCCCCCCCCCAGGTTCCCCCCAGAATTAAGGCTGTTTAGGGATAGTTGAGCCTAAGTTTACGGCCCGAGTACATCTTTACTTAAGGGGTAGAAGGGATTCTTAATCTTATTTCCCTATATAACCCCCATGTATACCTTACATATTTTATAGTTCCTATATACCTAAGTAGCCCCACCTGGCAGCCCCGTCCATACCATTCTCACGGTTTTGCGGTAACATTTTTGGGGGGTTGGTTTCTTTGTAAGGGAACCTTGGACCCCCCCGCGCCCCCCCCCCCCCCCCCCCCCCAAAAAAAAAAAAAAAAAAAAAACGGAAAGGGCGCCACTGGGCTACCGAGATCTGCGCTAGACCCTGAACCCCAACGCTTAAACCCGAAACCGGCGTTGCACAGACAACTGCTGTAGGACCCACGACGACCCAGGGAAAAGATAGGGTTTAGAGTTTAGGCTCGGGGCTTACAGTCTGGGGCTTAGGGCTTGGCTGTGGCAGGGCTCTGGCAGCCACTTTTGGGGATGCCTGAAACCAGGATGGCCCCTAAATCCCTCTAAAAAAAATTCCCGAAGATGATCCTCTTAAGTAGAAGGAGGGCAGCCCTAGAAGGGACCCTTAAGCTTCTTCTCCGAAATATCCCCTATGTATGCCTTGTCTAGTCCCTGTATGTCTAAGTCGCCCCGAAATAACCCCTAACCCCTAAACCCTAAACCCCAAACCCTAAACCCTAAATAACCCCTGAGGGCCCTTACAAGGGTCCATCCTTTAATCCCTTGAGTCCTTCAACTCAACACCTCGGACGTCTATGAACATGTCAAAGGCGCAATCCTTGATTCAGGGGTCTTTGGGCTCTCCAGGTGCCCTAAACCTAAACCCTAAACCCTAAACTCTATCCCTTAATCCTTAACCGATGAAGGATTCCGCGGTCATCCATGTTCAAAACCTAAACCGCGGGAACCTTACGTTTTCACCTCCCCTAGTTCCTCTTTGTCAAACAACCTCCCAGACTCTGAGTAGGGCCAAAGGAACGATGGCCCGCCCCTCTGACTCTGTTAAGGAATAACTCCTTGAAAATGTAGTCGGGCTCCTGGTTTGATTGAAGGCCTACTTGCTGATGATAACCCTAAACCTGCACCCTATAAACCCCAATCCCTAATCCCCAAACCCCCTAAACCCTGAACCCTGAACCCTGAACCCTAAACCCTAAACCCTACACCCTCCGGGTCGGTCTTTGCGACGGGAACTCCGTGTCTCCCCCCAGTCGGGGCTCAGAAGGTTCTCCTCGCCGAGTTGGTGATGCCGGCACCTTGGGGCCCCCGAAAGGCCCAAAGCAAGGCTTTGGGGTTTGGGGTTCGGGGTTTAGGGTTTAGGGTTTGGGGTTTGGGTTTAGGGTTTAGGGTTTGGGGTTTGGGGTTTAGGGTTTGAGGTTTAGGGTTTAGGGTTTAGGGTTTAGGGTTTAGGGTTCATTATGGGTTCATTATGGGTTCATTATGGGTTCATTATGGGTTCATTATGGGTTCATTATGGTTTCAGGTCCGGGGAAAGCTTCGGGAAAAGTTTCGAGGAGCTTCAATTAAAGTCTCGGGGCTTGAGGGTTTTGGGTTTTGGGCTGGGGGATAAACACGATACTGGAAAAAAGGGCGGTTTAGGGCTTAGGGTTCCGAGCTCAGGGGGAGGTCTTAGGGGCGTACGGGCTGAGTTGTCTACGGGGGACAGAGGGGCTCCTAAACCCAAAACCCCGAAACCCAAGACGCCGAAACCCTAAACCCTTAACCCTAAACCCTAAACCCTAAACCCTAAACCCTAGACCCTAGGCAGATTGAGAAACCCTCACAACCGGATCATGCCGAGGTGCCGATGCACGAGAGCACCACCGTTTCCGAGTCTCCGTGGTCCTCTCTCAGGCTTTTGATGCGGAATTGATTCCCAGAACCCTGGGGTTTAGGGTTTAGGGTTTAGGGTTTAGGGTTTAGGGTTTAGGGTTTAGGGTTTAGGGTGGGTTTAGGGTGGGTTTAGGGTTGGTTTAGGGTTTAGGGTTTAGGGTTTAGGGTTTAGGGTTTAGGGTTTAGGGTTTAGGGGGTTTAGGGGGTTTAGGGGGTTTAGGGGGTTTAGGGGGTTTAGGGGGTTTAGGGGGTTTAGGGGGTTTAGGGGGTGTAGGGGGTTTAGGAGAATTCCGCAAAGTAGAACCGCTATACTACTATTGGTCATTCTTAGGAACCCTTAAGTGGGTCCCACTTTTTGGATCCTCCCAGGGGTCTGGGTTAAAGGGATTTTCATGGAAACCCCAAACAGGGAGCCCCAAGAATGTAGTAGGAATATATATATATATATGGATTATACCTACCAGTGTCCTTCTATTCCCTTTCTATTCCTGCTCTGTTCTTGGGGCTCGCTGTTTGGGATTCCCATCAGGATCCCTTTATTGATAGCAGCGCTCGATGATAGAGTACCCCTATGCGACCACACATGGGCAGTACTGTAAGGGCGTTTCCGTATTGGGTACCATAAACAGCCAAGCCCCGTGTTGCAACAGGAGCCGCAAAACCCTAAACCCTAAACCCTGCAGGCGGGTTCAGTTGCAAGGGTGTGTTTTGGGTTTAGGAAGTGGTTACTGAGGCCCGGACGTCACCTGCCGCGAACGGAAATGCTGTTAAATGCTGTTATTTGCAGGTGTTTTCGATGCAGTGACTGTACACCTTCTTTTTAGCAACATGTTATGGATGTTACTCTTGATGACGGAACGCGCTAGGCGCGTTCCGTGACAGCCTGTTCCTGGTTTTTGCTTGTCTTCTGGGTGGGGCTTGGGGGGGGGGGGGGATAGGTGCCCCAATTCTTCTCTTTCATCTGGCTCCGCGTGCAAGTGCCATGTTCAGGTCTTCGTACTGCTCCTTAATGTTAGCTGGCAAGGTGCTGTACAATCCCATGGGGAAGGGCCAGTTCCAAAAGCACAACCGCTTCTGGTCTCGTCCCCGCTTCCAGAAGCCGCTGCATCGCAGCAATATGGCTCCCTTTGAGGGGCCGGAGCGCACGACATGGACTTGAAGGCTCCACTTTGTGTGGCGCGGACAGCCGCCCCATTTGAAGCGCCGCTGTCGATCTGCAACAGCAGGCACGCTATACTTTATCAAACCTCGCTCCTGCTGTAGCTGCTCTTCTACTTCTGGCGGTATCTCATTCATGTTTGAGGAGTCTGCCTCAACTTCGGGGCTGAAGTCTTCGATGAAATCATCACATTCACCAGAGTCTTCCACGCGGTCTTCGCATGGCACGCTAGGACCACTTGTGCTACTACTCGCTGCGCTACTCAGGAGCACATGTGGATTCCACGCAGCCTTCTTCTGAAGCTTCGTGATTCCGGAGGTCTGTGCGACGTGCCACCTCTTGTACTTCTTTGTCCATGGGCTGTCCAGAATGTTCTCTTGGCTTGGTGTCTCCTGTCAGGGATGACTCACATCATGCCATAACACGTCACCTGACAACAGGGCTGCAAGCAAGCCTGCAGCGCGTGGCTGAGAAAGTGTAGGTCATCTCGTGCTAAGTCTTCTTCGGCCTGGCAGACATGAGAGACATTCAAAAAACCTCTACTCCAACCTTGTCGGGGGGGGGACACTACTCAGCAGCACGGATCAAACGCAGGTGCGTGTGCAGTGTTTTTGTTCCCCATGCTGAGCTCTTGCTCCACCCCATGCCTTTGCTCGCAGTAGACTGGACATCTCGTCAGCATCAGCTGCGTCAGGCTTCATCCCGAAAGGCCTGAGCAAGCAGTTCCCTGCGGCGCTTTGCGCTCGGGAAATGTGTTCTCAGCCACCAACTGTACAAGTACGCCCACAGGTGCGGGCAAAAAGTAGGCGTCTTGGCTTCCTTGCTGCTACCGTTCAAGCTCTTTGGGATGTATTGTTTGATGCCAGACCACCGCTGGTCTATCAAACCAGTGTTTACATTGATCGTGCCTCGGCCACTGATGCGCTGCTTCTTGGCAAACTGACCCTTGGAGTGGACAACGTACCGATGCTTGAGGCTATGCTCCTTGGCAAGCCGCTCATACAGCTGGGCGCCGTCCGTCACAAGTAAGCTGGCGACCTTGCCGCTGTCGGTCTCTTGGCTGACGAGATGCTCTAAGCCTCTGCAGGACAAGACGTCAGCTCTGCTTTCTACAGGGCACACAGCGTTGTGCGCCACTTGCTTCACAGGCATCATGTACACGACCATCCGCGGCGGCTGCTGGTTCTGCGGCCGCTCGACGAGCCCCCATAAGGCAACGAAGTTGTTGTGGCCCCGTCGTTTGTACAACTTGAGGGCCGTCCCATCTGCTTCTACTACGCCGCTGAGCCGGACTTTCTGCATGAGCCGGTATCCCAGAAACGCCTCCTTCTGGAGGAGAAACTGAAAGAGGCTCCTGGACGAAGAGGAACGGCTGACACCTACGCGCTTGCAGATGTCCTGGAAATTCGGCACTGGTCGGTCTGTAAACTCTTTGATGAAGTCGACTATCTGCGGAAGGGGCATGCCGTACTTCATTTGTGGCAGGTGTGTGAAGCGGATACAGGAGATGGGATTGCCGCACTTTGTGCCGCGAAACCACATGGTGTTCATCTGCCTCCCACTCTTCTGCAGCCATTCTACGTGTTTCTGTCTCTCTGCTGTACTTCTCCGCTGCCTGGAATTCAGGGCCACACTGCACACGCACGTGTCGTTGCAATTGGGACAAGGGAAGCTCGCCATGCCACCCCGCATGCCACTTTTGACGAACCCGTGCAGCTTCAGCTCTGACCAAGCCTTTCCTATGGCATCAAACTGCAAAGCCGCCTGAACCAGCTTGTCATTCTTCGTCTTTCGCTTCTCTGTCCGTCTTTGCTCGTTCCAAGTCTTTCCAGTTCTGCGCTTCTCTTTCTTTCTCGCACTGGAAATGCCACGAGTCCCGCGGTGGACCTGCCTGACACGACGGTTCTGCTTTCTTTGCACTTTTGCGCGAGCCGTATCTCACCTGGATGCCGCACACAGCAAACGAACTCGCTCCTTGCTTCACGGCATCTGCCACTTTGTCGGCACTGTGCTTGCGCTGCACTGCCTTGAAAACTTTCTGTGCAAGTTTCGGGCACCCTCGCAAGTTATGCCCAGGGCAGTGACAGAACTGGCAGGTTTGGCTTTGCCATTTCCGCTTCGGCATGGTTCCTACACCACGGCTTCTCTGAACCCCAAAGGCTACATCGTTCTGGTGGCGTTTGCGGAGTTTGGCTTGGGGCTCTTGCACTAAACTGAACCCTTCACTGCAACAAACGTGCACCGCACACTCTGCCACTACTGCGCGCACCTACTTTACAGCTACTTCTCCGCGCTCGACCTGGCCTTTGCCGCGTCTTTCTTGCCGACATCGTCCATGTCGAGCTTTGCTGCTTCCTGCCAAGTCGTTTTGGACAGGTCGTTGCTTGCTTGTTGCTTCGGGTATAGGGTGCTCTTAACGGGAGGCGGGGGTTTAGGCTACAGCACGTTCCCAGTCGCCCAAAAACCCTCAAACCATAATGCCCTCATTCCTCAGCCAAACACTCCTGAACCCAAACCCTCCCTGTCTGCACGAACCCCAAACTCGCCTCTGTCGCCCTTGCACTGCACACATCTTCCATGTCCAGCTTTTCTGCTTCCTGCCAAGTCGTCTTCGAAAGGTCGTTGCTTTGTTGTTGCTTAGGGTGCTCTTAAGGGGGGGGGGTTGAGGCTGGAGCACGTTCGCAGTCGCCCAAAAAAAGCTACTCAGACAACAACACCCTGAACCTTCAGCCAAACACTCCTGAACCCAAACCCTCCCTGTCAACAGTGCAGGAACCCTAAACTCGCCTCTGTCGGCCTTCGACTGCAAACATCCTCCATGTCGAGCTTTTCTGCTTCCTGCCAAGGAGTTTTGGAGAGGTCGTTGCTTTCCTGTTGCTGAGGGGGCTCTTCCCGGGAGGGGTTTAGGCTAGGGGGGTGGCTAGAGCACGTTCGCAGTCGCTAAAGACTCTCCAACGAAAATCCCCTTACCCCTGAGCCAAACACTCCTGAAGCGAGCTTGCATCCCTCGCCTGCGCCGGCATTGGGCTGCAGACATCCTCCATGTCCACCTTTTCTGCGTCCTGCCCAGTCGTTCTTGGTTAAGAAACTTCTTGGCGGCTACGGGGGTTACGGGAGATGAAACCCTTTTCCAGACAGCTTGCCCTGTCGACTACATGTCTGCGTCCAGCAGGACGCACTGCACACGATGCTCCAAGACGACCTCTATGTCACGTGCGCAGCAAAGCACGTCAGACCACATCTCCTCGAGTTGCGTCGTGCATGTCACTATGCTGGACCATGCCTGCACTTTCTCTCGCAATGTGCGAAGGGTGTTTCTCGCCTCCCTAGCATGCGCAGGATCAGGCCCCATCAAGTACACCTCGGAATTTCCGGTCAAGCTGCCCTGGCATGTTCCTCGCGCATGCAGATGTGACTCCACAATGCGAATGTCTGACTTGCCGGACGTATCCTTGACCGCTGCCTCCAAAGACCATGCCAGTGAGACAAGCATGTCAATCTCATGCATGATGCTGCGCCGATCCAAGGTCACCATTCCGTGTATGTCAGACAAGCCCTCCAGCAAAGCTGGCACAACTTCTTCACAAAACCGTTCCTGCTCACGCGCAGATGGCAGCTGCTGTGACAAAGCGCACAGCATCGCACGCAGCATCTGTGACAGGCTTACGCCCGCCCGGCTGGACGACTGCGAGCTGCATTCCATGACCCCTGAAACGGAGACGATGCTCCGGCTACATTGAAACTGGCTAAGAACCTGCACGGCTGCAGTAGGTGTTGCTCCACTCGCAGCCCGTGTGTCTCTCATGTGCCTACGAGCCTAGCAGCCATGACAAGAAGCAACGGGCACACCAAGTAACAGGCACACCACGCCCACCTCATCTTCTGAAGCTTCAAGTTGCTGTGACTCCTCTTCGTATTCCTCACAGTCTCTTGCGTCTTGCGAAAACTCTTGACGTAATTTCAGGATAGGGAAAATGCAAACTACATAAAACATAAGTCCAGCCCAGTTGCCACGTCCGTGGCCAATGCGTCGAAGTCTAACTCCTCTGCGAAGATGTCCGTCACATTGCCGGGAGCCGTGGTCTGCTCTGCCATTTCTGGATCCACGCCAGATGTGACCCAATCCTCTGACGGCACTGAGCCGCGAGCTCGGGTCTGCCAGGCATGCACATGACTCGCCAGGTCATGTGGTAAAGGAGGCCATGTCGACAAAACACCAAAACGTCGCTCGATCAACATTTGATGCCGCCGTGCCATGTCTTGTACGTCTGGTGAGCGTGCTATCCGACTCCTCTCTGTTACCAAGCAAAAAGCAAGAGCTCCTGCGCACTCGGCCAAAGAAACCCATGGTATCGCACAGACGGCGTGGAGACGAGCACGTCAAAGTGAGCCCGCAGGTCGTTGCCTGCGAACCGCTCCAAACGATGCAGAGCCGCAGGCAAGCGACTGCCGATGCATTGAAGCACGAGAACAATGCTCAGCAGCAAAGCCAACCGACGCAGGGACGACATGGCAGATTCAGCGCTGTCCCGCTACAATGCTTACATCATCATGACAAGACAGACTTCAGCCCTATCACGCTGTCATGCCAATATTTCTATCCTGACCACACAAGATGATGACATGAACAAAAAGCCACCCAAAACCTGATTCTCCTTCCAAAGCCGAAAAACACATACACTGTAAATAACGACACAACTGACACTTTGCACCACACTTGGAAGTGAACCCGCAGGGTAAACCCTAAACCCTAAACCCTAAACCCTAAACCCTAAACCCTAAACTGGCTACGAAGCTTGAGAGCCTCCGAGTGGGTTCAGAGCCTAGGGGTTGAGTGTTTAGGGTTTAGAGAGCCTCTCCAGCCCATCCGAGGCTCGAACCCCGCAGATTGCAGGGTTGGGTTTAGGGTTTAGGGCACCAGTAGCCCTAAACAAATACTAGGATGGCCCTTAAAACCCTCCGAAAGGTGTTCCCGGAATATGATCCTCTTACACCCAAATTAAGGGAAAACAGAAAATGTCCCAACACCCTCCCTAGATTAGCACCCTAAAAGCCCTAAAACCCTAAAAACCCCCAAAACCCTAAAGACCCTAAAAACCCTACAAACCCTAAAAACCCTAAAAGCCCTAAAAACAAAACGCTAAACCCTAAACCCTACACTCTAACGCTGGAAACCCTACTAGAAGTTAACTCCCACGAGCCTCACGGATCTGAAAGACGATGCCCAGGAAGTCGCGGATGTGCCGGAGCATCTGGGTTTAGGGTTTAGGGTTTAGGGTTTAGGGTTTAGGGTTTAGGGTTTAGGGTTTAGGGTTTAGGGTTTAGGGTTTAGGGTTTAGGGTTTAGGGTTTAGGGTTTAGGGTTTAGGGTTGGGATGTTCCCCCCCTGATACTACAGTTCTTAATATAGATTGTAGTTAGCCCTACTATTCTAATCTTCCCTATTAAGGCGTATAAGGGTGAACATCCCGAGGCTGCAGGCTCAAGAAACATGGGCCGGAGAAATGCCACATCTGGGGGCGTTGGGCGGGCGTGTCGGGCTGCAGGTTGGAAAGGTCCTACGAGCAGGGTTTCCCCTGCGAGTGCTCAAGGACGAAGGGAAAGATGTGCAAAGCTTGAAAGTATGTGCACTGAAAAAATGTCACAGAGAGGGTCGGCACGACTCGAGGTGGCTATTTCCCAAAACAGGGGTACCCCTTTTATACCGCAAATAGAATTAGAATCCCCTTAAAGGGACCCCTAAAAAAGGGCACACGGTATGTCGGAAACCCCCAGGTCGGACCAAGAAAGGTCTCTCACAGCGAAGGGTTGGAACGGATGTGATGGAAGGGGCCCATAGAGATCTTGAACATCATGGGTTCCCCTACCACCCCCCCATATACTTTAGGGTTTAGGGTTTAGGGTTTAGGGTTTAGGGTTTAGGGTTTAGGGTCCCTCGGTTCCCCCCTTTTAAGTGCCTTAAAGGGGGGAACCTGGGGGGGGGGGGGAGTAGTCATGAGAACACCCCCTGAACCAATGAACCTTGCTCAGCAAAGTCTGAAGCAGGACCCCCATGTAGACCAGGATGGCCCACTAAAGCCCTCTGAGAAATATTCCTGCATTTGATCCTCTCAAACCCAACGAAGGGAATATGTCCCAAGGGCCCACCTAGTAGATGAAAGTGCTGCTGCACTGCGAAAGAAAATGAGAAACGGAAGGGCTCGTCAGGAGAGCGAAATTACGAAATCCAGGGCCCCCAAAACCCTAAACTTCCCAAACCCGATAACTTCAAAAGCCCTTAAAACCTGAAAGCCCTAAACACCTAAAAGCCCGCCCCAAGATCTTTGAGGCCTGAAACACCAGCCCGAAAACCCTAAAACCCGAAATCACTACACCCTGAAAACCCCTTAAAGACCTCGAGCACCCTAAAACCACCAAAGCCTACCCTCTATGGGAAGCTCTCTAAATTAGGGCCCCTTTTGGGGATCCATTGTTAAAGGGTGCCGCCTTACAATCATGGGTACCCAAAAAGGGACCCTAATATAGGAAACCACCCACACAAGCATACGGGACCCCTGATCGTAGGATTCCCCTAAAATCAGGACCCCCAATAAGGTACCGCTAAGCCCTAAACCCAAACCCTAACTATCAGGATTCCCCTAGAATAAGGACCCCCCAATAAGGTACCAAACCCTAAACCCTAAACCCTAGTATAGGAAGCTACCCATTTCAGGGTAGCAGCCTGGGCTGCGGATGGGCTGAGTCGTGAGAGGCGGACACGTCCAGGCTTCGTCTCCTCGTCTGATGGCAGGGTGTAGCGTTTAGGGTTTAGGGTTTAGGGTTTAGGGTTTAGGGTTTAGGGTTTAGGGTTTAGGGTTTAGGGTCTAGGGTCTAGGGTCTAGGATCTAGGGTTTAGGCTTTAGGGTTTAGGGTTTATTTCTAGGCCAAGGTTTACGGCTGTTTAGGGTTTGGGGGCTGGCATTAAGGTTTAGGTTGGGATGTTCCCCCCTATACTAACATAACAGTCCTTAGTAGGGAGTATGCAAAGGGGTAAGATAATCCCTGTCATCGACTGTTAGTAGAAGGGGCAACATTTCGAGGATTAGGGTTTAGGGCCCATTCAGGCCTGAGGGTTGTGGGTTGGATACCTCCATGGCTTCTTTGAGGACTCAATGCCCTGAATGAAGACTTGGTAGCCCAGCCATATTCCAATTAGGGGCATCCTTTTTGGGGTTTAGGGTTAGGGTTTAGGGTTTAGGGTTTAGGGTTTAGGGTTTAGGGTTTAGGGTTTAGGGTTTAGGGTTTAGGGTTTAGGGTTTAGGGTTTAGGGTTTAGGGTTTAGGGTTTAGGGTTTAGGGTTTAGGGCTAATCCCCACTGCTCCCGGGAGCTTCGGATGCCCCCTGACCCCTCTCCTCACCCAGGCTGAGGAAGTACAACACGAGCGCCTGATGCGCGGTGTCCACCTCACTCGATGGCAGTCAGGAAGTCTACTCGGCCACTCACGGAGGTTTTAGGGTTTAGGGTTCAGGGTTTGGGTTTAGGGTTTAGGGTTTAGGGTTTAGGGTTTAGGGTTTAGGGTTTAGGGTTTAGGGTTTAGGGTTTAGGGTTTAGGGTTTAGGGTTTAGGGTTTAGGGTTTAGGGTTTAGGGTTTAGGGTTTTGGGTTTCGTGTTTAGGGTGTAGGGTTTCGGGTTTAGGGTTTAGGGTTTAGGGTTTAGGGTTTAGGGTTTAGGGTTTAGGGTTTAGGGTTTAGGGTTTAGGGTTTAGGGTTTAGGGTTTAGGGTTTAGGGTTTAGGGTTTAGGGTTTAGGGTCCCAAACCCCGAACACCAATAAGCCCTCCGCTGAATCTTGGGCCAGGACGCACAACTTCCGGGTTGATGAGGGGGGTCGCCCTTTCCTATGCCACTGCTTCTATCGGAAGTCTGCAGGCGAACAACGGCCAAGAAACCCATACATTCCGCTTGTGCATTGTGGAAACCCGAAACCAAGGAACTGGTCAGGAGTGCGTGGCTCCCTAAACCCTAAACCCTGAACCCTGAACGCTGAACCCTGAACCCTAAACCCCTCAACAAGGCTGTTTGCTCCTCGTGGCAGCAAGTTCGCCGCTCCAAGAGCGAGGGTTTAACGATGACGACACGCATTCCGAGATTGTGATAGCATGATACATGCCCATCCTGTCCACCCAACAAGGCCCAATTTTTGTTTGGCGTTTAGGGTTTAGGGTTTAGGGTTTAGGGTTTAGGGTTTAGGGTTTAGGGTTTAGGGTTTAGGGTTTAGGGTTTAGGGTTTAGGGTTTGCAACCCGAAGCCCTAGAAACCCCATCCAGCTCTTAACAGAGGGCAAGGGGCAAGATGATGCAAGTTCGTGGTTAAGGCGAGGAAGGAACGACCGACGAGAGCTTGCAGTACACAAATGGGTTCAACGATGGCAGGATGCTTTCTATGTCACTCCTTCACCGCCCTTGCTTGGAACCACAACGAGGGGAGCTGCCACATCAGCTGCTTAAGCTGAAAAGACACATGTCCACTGCTGTGGGGTGGTGCCAAGACCTGCGGCCCTCTAACCGCTCGGCCTGATTCGGACAAGGCTAGATATGCTTTCGCTGAACATCGCATCTGACATGCACTTACGAACAGTCTGTTTGGATGTAAGCATTCGGAACAACCTATGCGACACCCCGTATGCCAGAACCCTTCGGGTTTCTGGCAACTGCGATTGACCGACCCCGCAGCATCAATTCTGCGCTCGGGCGAATTTAAGAGCAGGAGGTGGAGAGAATTGGATCTTCAAAGTGGTCCAGGACTTCGGTCTGTAGCGTCAATGCTTCAAGGTTCAGGGCTCAGGACTACCAGCTTGCTATATCGGCTCTTACCTGCATAGGACAGATGGGGACATATCAATACGAGCCTCAATCAAGGCACTTCGTGTGGCACATCTACAGGGGTGCAAGGCCTCTGTTGCTTGGCAACAGCTGCTTGCGGAAATTTCTGGGCTGAGCCACACCCAACGGAGATGATGCAGACAAACACTAACTCATGTTTCCCATACACCGACCCTGTCGCCAGGATCGCGATAGCTGCTGGAGACCTCGATGTGAAACCTGCCGACAAGGTCAGAGAATCCAAGGCTGGGGGGGGCGCTAACACTACCAATTTGCTTAAGAGCGCCAAGAAACATATTTCGATAACGAACCCCTATATTGCCCTTGCAAGGAAGAAAAATTGAACCCCTATATTGCCCCTACAAGGAAGAAAAAATTGCATTTTTTCGGGGTTCTTAAGCAATGCGTGGGTACAACGAGCCCTAGGTGCTGGGACGCCTAAGAGGTCTGTCAGAAGTGCTTCCGGCTGACAATTATCCCTCTCGACTCCCAAAGCCCTAAACCCTAAACCCTAAACCCGAAACCCTAAACCCTAAACCCTAAACCCTAAACCCTAAACCCTAAACCCTAAACCCTAAACCCTAACCCTAAACCCTAAACCCTAAGCAGGAGACCCAAAGAGTGCCTTGGCCTGGCGATCAAAGCGGTGCGCGCTCAATCGCCTGGCACGTTGCTGGGGGGATAGAGAGGAAGTGCAGGGTTTAGGGTTTAGGGTTTAGGGTTTAGGGTTTAGGGTTTAGGGTTTAGGGTTTAGGGTTTAGGGTTTAGGGTTTAGGGTTTAGGGTTTTAGGGTTTAGGGTTTAGGGTTTAGGGTTTAGGGTTTAGGGTTTAGGGTTTAGGGTTTAGGGTTTAGGGTTTAGGGTTCAGGGTTCAGGGTTCAGGGTTCAGGGTTTAGGGTGCAGGGTTTAGGGTTCAGGGTTCAGGGTTCAGGGTTCAGGGTTCAGGGTTCAGGGTTCAGGGTTCAGGGTTCAGGGTTCAGGGTTTAGGGTTTAGGGTTTAGGGTTTAGGGTTTAGGTCTATGGTTCAGGGTTCAGGGTTCAGGTTTCTTGGGTTTAAGGCTATAGGGCTTAGGAATAACTTCAGGATATTGGGGGTTAAGAGGGTGTAGGGTTTGGGTTTCCCGAGAACTCAACAGAAAAGTTCAGGATTTCGGGTGAAAAGTTCAGGGTTCTGGTCTAGGGCAAGGCTAGGGTTTTCAACAGTTAGGGGTGGTCTCCGCTCAAGCTTTGTCAGGGTGCACCCCTTTTTATGGAAACTCCCACAAGTCATAAGCGGCATTGATCAAGACACCTAGCTAAAGTGGTTTCTACCTTTGTCCGTTAGATTTCATGCCTTTAGGGCTTGAGGGGCTTTGGGGTGTAGGGCTAAGGGTTAGATTCGGTGAGATCTTCTCGCTTTTGCTGCTGACACGCAGAAACATGAGCGAAACGCGATCTGCAAGCACCTAAACCCAAGGGCCCTGCGCGCAGTGAACTGGACAGGTTTGGCAAAGGCTTGCTCAAGCAGCCGACACAAACTCACACGGCTCTGGGAGAAGAGACGCGATCGTAGCTAGAAATGGCCGGAAGTTGTAGAACAATGTGGAGTAGGGCTTTGGGTGGGTTGGGTCTGCCCTAAACCCTAAACCCTAAACCCTAAACCCTAAACCCTAAACCCTAAACCCTAAACCCTAAACCCTAAGAGCCGCGCTCCTACGCCGGCTGTAGGGGCTAAGTTTCGGGCTCAGGGTAGAGGAAAACACGGCTCATCCGAAAGCTTAGGGCCTACCCAATACGCCCAAAACTCTCAAGCCACTTTAAACACGAAACCTGATTCTGGAGGGCGCTTTCCGCCCCACACCCTAGCCTTGCGACCCAAAGTAAGGTCACCGCCCCAAAGAAACCACCCGAAGAGGCAAACGTCAAGTGGCATTCCAGAAGCTAACATACGTTGTTGCATGCTCTGTTACGTGCATCAACACCAGTCGGCCCCCGAAGATCCTTCTACACCTCGTTAAGGGTTTAGGGTTTAGGGTTTAGGGTTTAGGGTTTAGGGTTTAGGGTTTAGGGTTTAGGGTTTAGGGTTTAGGGTTTAGGGTTTAGGGTTTAGGGTTTAGGGTTTAGGGTTTAGTGGGGGCTTGGGGATAAACGGATAAACACCCCACTCCCCCCCCCCCCAGGTGGGGCCTCGCTGATGCTGCGTGTGACTTTGTCCACGCGCCCCTGGCGCAACAGTCTATACTAATAGTTCCCAAGGGTGATATAGAAGTGAGCATGGCAAATCGGACGGTCTGCCCAAGCCCTATGCTCAGATTACAAATCCGAAGCAAGCGGCAGAAAAATCGAATACTTCGAAAGCCTCTGAGCCCTGTAATATAGGTGTCGGAATAACTACCAATAGTATTCCCGTAGGGTTCCTTTATGTATAGGCTCTAATAACCTCCCAAAACCTTATTCAGGCCCCTATATTATGCCCTTCACTTTGATGACAGAAACCTTAAAAGCTCGCAACTCCCCCTGAATCCACCGCGCCTTCACCTTGCTTCGCTCCTCTTCCGCGGGGTTCATCTCTTTTTCCCACATGTCCTGCAGTGGATGGGTGCGTACGTCGGTGTGTCTGAGTCGGCTTGTTGCCTGCTCCTTAGCGTTTGGGGTCTCAAAAGGGTGCCTACAACTTCGATCAATCACCAGCATGGCCTATCCCCTAAACCCTAAACCCTAAACCCTAAACCCTAAAACCCTAAAACCCTAAACCCTAAACCCTAAACCCTTAACTGCCGAGAGCGCCGCTGTCCATTTACATGGGCGCTCGAGGCCCCCGACCGAGCGTCTCCACAGAACGGTGAGGGAGGGTAAGGGAATTTTTTTGGAACCCCCCGAGACCTTCTGGGACCGACCCCGCTGGGACCCTGCCGAAGCTTTTGCCGCCTGGCACGCCTTGAGGACCTCCAAACCTGCCTTTCCTGGAACCCTTCTCGGCCCCTGCTTCCCCCTACCACTTTGCTGCCCTAAGGCTGCCCGCGATCCAGGATTTGCCCAGACCGCAGCGAAAACGCTGTTAGTTTTTTAGTATTGCAATCGACGGTTTTTGGGCACCCCTCCATTCCAAGAAGCCTACGAGCCACTGACAGGCTCCACAAAGCTCAGGAGGCCCCACCCTGCTCTTTTTTTGGTTAAAGCAAGAAAGCCCCCCCTTGAGGGGGGTTTGGGGGGTGAACCCTAAACCCGAAATGAGAATAGTTTTGGTCGTTGGGGTGGGACTACATGCTAACGCAAGCGAGCGGCCCGGGTGCTTTTAGCACCAGCGAGCTTCCCTTCCATACACCCTAAACCCTAAACCCTAAACCCTAAACCCTAAACCCCAAACCCTAAACCCTAAACCCTAAACCCTAAACCCTAAACCCTAAACCCTACGTAAGCATTTCCCTTCGAGCCGTCCTGCCAGTTTGCAATGTTCTGCGCCAGGTTGCTTCCCATCCTCGGTGTTTGGGTTAAGGGTTTAGGGTTTAGGGTTTCGGGTTTCGGGTTTAGGGTTTAGGGCTGGATTCAGCGGCTTGGGGGATGGTCGGGAAAAAGACTGGCAAGCTTAGGGCTGAGGGACTCGGGTTTGGGGTGTAGGATTTAAGGTTTCAGGTTTAGGGTTTAGGGTTTAGGGTTTAGGGTTTAGTTCTCTTGGTGACGGTGTAGTGGCTCAAGGGGTAAGAAGCAAGCAGCCGGACCCTGCAGGCAGCAGTACTTGTACAAAAGCGAGGCCCGGGTCTTCGCAGACGCCCGGTCCTCTCAGACGAACCCAGAGCCTCCATCCCAAAAACCTGGAAGCCTCAACCCTCCCCGACGCCCTAAACCCTAAACCCTAAACCCTAAATCCTACACCCTAAACCCTAAACCCTAAACCCTAAACCCTAAACCCTAAACCCTAAACCCTCACTATCAGCCCTCCAAACTCAGCCCTCAGCTCGACACAACCCCTGAAGGGTTCTATACTCGATCCTAGAAGCCACCGCTAAACCCTTTAAACCCTTTAAATCCTTTTTAACCCTTTTAAGCCCTTTTAACTCTTTAAACCCTTTAAACCCTTCAAACCCTTTAAACCCTTAAAACCCTTTAAACCCGTCTAACCTTTTAAGCCCTTTTAACCCTCTAAACCTTTCAAACCCTATAAACCCTAAACTTAAACCCTGTTTTGGGGAGCCCGGCTCGTGCAAATTCGGCCAGAGCCGGATCTGCGCGACGAAGAACGGCGAGATCATGAACCTCGGGCGGGGTTTAGGGCTTTTTGGGTTTAGGGTTTAGGGTTTAGGGTTTAGGGCTTAGGGCTTAGGGCTTAGGGCTTAGGGCTTTTGGCGTGTTTTTTGCAACAAGCGCGAAGGCCCCAAAAATCAGAGGCTTCTGGGGTGGGGTTTAGGGGTTTAGGGCTTTTTGGGGTTTAGGGTTTAGGGTTTAGGGTTTAGGGTTTAGGGCTTTGGGGCTCTTGGTGCTTAACTAGGGTTTTTGGGGCTCCCCACCTCCGTTCGGTGCGCACGCTCCTCGCCCCGAAGTGCTGTGCTTGCGATGAGGAGTGTGGGATAGACAACAGGGTTCCCGTCAGGGCCAAACCCTAAACTTGAACCCTAAACCTAAACGGGAAACCTTAAACCCTAAACCCTAAACCCTAAACCCTAAACCCTGAGGCTCACAGCATGGGTGTTGTGCCCTGACCATGTGAGCTTCGTGGGTTTTTAGGGGCGCAGTGTCGCGAAGCCCACTTCCGCCCATGCTTCTCGAACGGGAGAAGATAGGCCCAAATAGCCCCAATACCCCGTAAATACAGAATAGATGCTTTAGATTATCATAGGGACCCTAGTATGACTTCAGGAAAGATTCCTTACTTACGATGTATTTAGCTCTCTGGGTACGCCACCGCAATCCCACTACTCCCTGGCTCAGCCACTTTTAGGGTTCAGGGCGCAGGGTCGAAAAGCCTAAAAAGCTTAGATCCATAATAAGAACCATCCATTCTCAGCCTTCCCCTTGCGTCTGATGTGAAACAAACTAGGCTTTTAGCAACTCTTTAACAATAAGGGTATCTTTTTTCTTACTCTTCAGTTTTAATAAGGAACCCCCAAAACAAACAAGGGAATAAGGGTACTACTTGGGGACCTAGCAAACGCAGAAACTTTGCAGGAGACGATCGACAACAAGGGACCTAACGTAGATCACAGCCCCTCAGCTCAAAACCCCCAATTCAGGGCTGCTTAGGTTTTCAAGGGTTACATGAAGTCAAGATATAAAACCCTTTAGAACTCCTAAAAACCCTAAGACAAACCCAAAAACCAAAACAAACCAGAAAGAAACCTAACAAACGCTTTAAGAAAAAGCCCAAAAAAAAACAAACAAAGCCCCTAAAAAGCCCTAAAAACCACCTTTAACAAACCCTTTAAACAACTTTAAAAAAAAAAAAAAAAAAAAAACCTTTAAAAAAAAACTCAAAAGCCATGGCTTGGCTCCCGGGCTCAATGAAGCCGATCTGGGAGTTCGGCTTGTTGAGCTTGTCGCGGTCGTTCAGGAACTGGACCTCGGAGGGTTTGTTTCAGGTGGGGTTTAGGGTGTTAGGGTTTTAGGGTTTAGGCTTTTAGGGTTTTAGGGTTTTAGGGTTTTAGGGTTTTAGGGTGTTAGGGTGTTAGGGTTTTAGGGTTTTAGGGTTTTAGAGTTTTAGGGTTTTAGGGTCTTAGGGTTTTAGGGTTTTAGGGTTTTAGGGTTTTAGGGTTTTAGGGTTTTAGGGTTTTAGGGTCTTAGGGTTTAGGGTTTTAGGGTCTTAGGGTTTTGGGGTTTTGGGGTTTTAGAGGGTTTTAGGGTTTTAGAGGGTTTTAGGGTTTTAGAGGGTTTTAGGGTTTTAGGGGTTTAGGGTTTTAGGGTTTTAGGGTTTTAGGGTTTTAGGGTTTTAGGGTTTTAGAGGGTTTTAGGGTTTTAGAGGGTTTTAGGTTTTTAGAGGGTTTTAGGGTTTTAGGGTTTTAGGTTTTTAGGGTTTTAGGGTTTTAGGGTTTAGGGTTTTAGGGTCGTGGTTTGGGAGGTTTAGGGGTGCAGGGTTTGGGGCTTGGGGTGTTCTGGGCTTGGGGTTGAGGGTTCCCCTGTGCTAGGTCTTGAGGAGAAGTACAGCGAAGTTATGGGGGCTTCCATGGGCCTTTTGGAGGACGGGTGACATCGGGTTTAGGGTCTAGGGTGTAGGGTTTAGGGCTTAGAGTTTAGGGCTTCGGGCATTCGGTTGAAACAGGGGTGGAGGGCCTCAAGGGCTTCTGGGAAGCGCTGGTCAGTTCCTTCACGTGATGGGTTTTAAGTCTTATGGGCTTTGAGGGCTTTAGGGCCAAACCTCTAGACCGTCTAGACCCCAAACCGCAAACCTCTAAACCCTGAACCCCCAAACCCTAAACCCTAGCCCCAAACCTCTAAACCCTAAACCCTAAATCCTAAACCCTAAACCCTAAACCCTAAACCCTAAATGGGCCGCGCTCCTGGGTTTCCCGGCTGGGATGCCCAGGACCTTCTCCTGGTCGCCCTGGGCAAAGAACTCCTCCAGGCAGACCATGGCCCAAGCCTTGGCGCACTCCAAAGCAAGGGTTTTAGGGTTTAGGGTTTAGGGCTTAGAGTTTGGGGTTTAGGGTTTAGGGTTTAGAGTTTAGAGTTTGGGGTTTAGGGTTTAGTGTTTGGGTTTTTTTGGTTCAGGGTTTTGGGTTTAGGGTTGAGGGTTTAGGGTGCACTACAGGGAAGCCCTTGCAGGGTTTAGGGCTTAGGGCCCTAAGGGTTGCGGGCGCAGGGCTTTGGGTATCAAGGCCTAGGGTGTGTGGTTTGGGGCGTAGGCCTTTTGGGTCGAGGGCCGGTTCAGGGCTATTTACAGGGCTGAGTATCGGGTGTCATGATAAGGGGGTAAGGGTTGTTTTTTGGCCTAGTTGAGGGATGTGCAAGCCTCCCTAAACCCTAAGCCCTACGCCCTAAGCCCTAAACCCTAAACCACAAACCCTAAACCCTAAACCCTAAACCCTAAACCCTAAACCCTAAACCCTAAACCCTAAACCCTAAACCCTAAACCCTAAACCCTAAACCGTCATGGACCTCCAGTGCATCCGCGTCCCCTCCCCGCCCTCCCCGACTCCACCTCGCTTAGGTTGAGAGCGGCATCAGCTTGTCCCCCCCCCCCCGCCATACACACATAGAGAAAAATAAAGAATACTTAGTAGATGGTGTGAAAGGATGCCATGTGTGTGTATATTATTTATGTATGGATATATATATATATATGTACATATATATATACATATATATATATACATATATATATATACATATCTATATATATATATGCATATATGTATATGTGTGCCATGAGTCTTTTAGGCCTAGTTCACTGTAGCAGCTCTATACACCTGAGGACCAAAGAAACCCGATCCCGAATGGCCTCTAACCTACTCTTTGGAAGGGTGGTAGGGGCAGCACGCTTCATTGTTGAGGGGGCGGGGGGGGTGCAACCTGCTCATTCCTGTAGTAAGTAGGGCCACTACACCCTAAACCCTAAACCCTAAACCCTAAACCCTAAACCCTAAACCCTAAACCCTAAACCCTAAACCCTACGAACCCCACTTGAAGGCGAACCCTCTCAGCGCCCTGCGTGGGTGACCTCCCAACCGCGGCACGGGTTGGAAACATCTGCGGAGTGGAGGACGCAGTTCAGCACCTGGCATGTGCCAACCGCACAAGCCCTCTCAACCCTAAACCCTAAACCCGAAACCCTAAACCCTAAACTCTAACCCCTAAACCCTAATCGCATGAAACCCCCTAGACCTTTGAAGCACCCTGGAAAACCTTAAACTTCCGCCTTGCCTTGGTCTTCGTGTCATTGTCCGAGAAGATCTCGATCTCTGCGGGGCTGATCATCATCTGCCCCTTGTCGTCACCTTTTGATGGTGATGGTGGTTGAGAGGTTTAGGGTTTAGGGTTTAGGGTTAAGGGTTAAGGGTTTAGGGTTTAGGGTAGAAAAGGGGTCTGAGTCTATGGTCACGTTTTCTTGTGGTTGAGGGTGTTCAGGGCGTTTTAGGCTTAGGGCTTAGTAAAGGGGTCTAGGGTTCGGGGTCTTGGGTCACGTTTTCTTGTGCTTGAGGGTGTTGAGGGTTGGTTTAGGCTTAGGGTTTAGTAAAGGGGTTTAGGGTTCAGGGTTCAGGGTTGCTTGGTGGGTTTGGAGCGTGGGGACGAGATGCTCCCTGTTCTTGCATTTCGACCTCTTCCTTTTTTCTTCTCTCTCTCGCTCTCTCTCTCTCTCTCTCTCTGTGTCTCTCTCTCTCTCTCTCCCTTCTGAATCCGTATGACCCTCTCAAGGTTTATTCAGGGTCCAAGGCTCGGGGCGGAATCTAAAACCCTTAGCAGACAAGGACGCTGATTTCCCTCTGCCACCTTCCCCTAAGCCTAAACCCTAAACCCTAAACCCTAAGCCCTAAACCCTAAACCCTAAACCCTAAGCCCTAAACCCTAAACCCTAAACCCTAAACCCTAAATAACAAACCCTAAGCCGCCCAAAGCTTTGAGCCCACCACTTTCGGGCTCTGCCGTGAACACCTGGCGGAGAGCTTTGTGGCTCAACGAGCTGATGCTTTGGGGAGTTGGGTAGTAGGGTTTAGGGTTTAGGGTTTAGGGTTTAGGGTTTAGGGTTTAGGGTTTAGGGTTTAGGGATGTTTCGGGTCGGTTCAGGGTTCAGGGTTTTGGGGGGCGCAGGGTTTAGTGTTATCGGTTTCTGAGAGGTTTTTCTGGGATGACTGGAAAATGTGTAGCTGAAGCACACCTGGAGCAACCGCTTAAACCCCAAACCCTAAACCCCGAAACCCTGAACCCAATATGTGCCCCCTTCCCAAAAAAAGATGAAGACACACGCGCATGGCCTCCGTGTTCATCTGGAAGAGCATCTGGAGGTCCTTCACCATCGCCTGCAGTACCGGAGCCTAAATACAACCCTTAACACCAAAACAAAAACCAAAGATACAAACAGGCCCCTAAAACCCTCAACCCAAAACGAAAGCCTAAACCACTAGAAATCAGGCCAAAAACATTGAAATTACACAAAGGCCACTATATTGGCTGTTAGTAGCCCGCGGGCGCGGCGGGCAGGAGGGCTGCTTGCAGAAGTGTTGGCCAGGGAGGTGTGCTTTAGGGTTTAGGCTTAGGGGTTTTCGGGAGATTGTCGTGCATTTGCGGCCCTTGAATCCCAAGACGAGAACCTCCTTCCCCTCCCCGATCCCTTCTTTTTGTGCGAAGAAGGCGAGTCAACAAGCAGCCTGCTCTAAGCCCTGGATGGTCAGCCCTAAACCCCAAGCCCCAAATCCTAACGGATCGTTTCGGATTTCGGGTTTAGAGGTTTAGGGGCTTAGGGGTTTGGGCATTTGTGGTTTAGAGGCTTTGTAGGGCCTCAGTGGCTTCCTTCAACACGAAAGCCCTTAGGGTTGGGTTTGGGGTTTGGGGTTTGGGGTTTGGGGTTTGGGGTTTGGGGTTTGGGGTTTGGGGTTTGGGGTTTGGGGTTTGGGGTTTGGGGTTTGGGGTTTGGGGGTTGGGGTTGGGGTTTGGGGTTTGGGGTTTGGGGTTTGGGGTTTGGGGTTTGGGGTTTGGGGTTTGGGGTTTGGGGTTTGGGGTTTGGGGTTTGGGGTTTGGGGTTTGGGGTTTGGGGTTTGGGTTTGGGGTCTAGGGTTTAGGGTTTAGGGCTTAGGGTTTAGGGTTTGGGGTAGTCCATCCAGGGCCTGGTGGGCCATCATGTCTGTGTGGAGGATGGTCTCGATGCAGTGCTTCCGAACCTCCTTGTACTGCTCCTTTGACAGGTGGTAGAAGACCTGGGCTACCACACAAAGGTTTTAGGGTTTAGGGTTTGGGGTTTAGGGTTTAGGGTTTAGCGGAATCTGGGCCCAACGCCAAAGAGTTCGCACTCTATGCACGAAGGCCCAATGCAGGGTTGCTTCGTTTTTTGAGGCAAACAGGGTGTCGGGTAAGCCCTCGAAACCCTGAAAACCTCGGCGACATGGCCGCAGTCCTTCTGGTACCTACTCAAACCCCCTAAGACCCAAATCCTACCCTAGAAACCCTAAACCCTGAACCCTATTGTCAATTCACCCTCAACCCTAAACCCTAAACCCTACAAGCCCTAAACCCTAAACCCTGGACCCTAAACCCTAAACCCCAAAAGCAAACCCTAATTCAGTGACCATGTGGAGCTTAGCCCAAGGCGTTGGTCTCGTGCTTGCTGGTGATGGTGTACAGCTTTGCGCAATGCCTCGGGACGATTTGGAGTTTAGGGTTTAGGGTTTTGGGTTTAGGTTTTAGGGTTTTCGGGTTTTAGGGTTTTAGGGTTTTAGGGTTTTAGGGCTTTAGGGTTTTAGGGTTTTAGGGTTTTAGAGTTTTAGGGTTTTAGGGTTTTAGGGTTTTAGGGTTTTAGGGCTTTAGGGTTTTAGGGTTCTAGGGTCTTAGGGTTTTAGGGTTTTAGGGTTTTAGGGTTTTAGGGTTTTAGGGTTTTAGGGTTTTAGGGTTTTAGGGTTTTAGGGTTTTAGGATTTTAGGGCTTTAGGGTTTTAGGGTTTAGGGCTTAGGGCTTCTTTGGGCCGTTGAAGTGTTTCAACTGAGGTCTAATGGGCCGCCTTCAAGTTTGAAGCAGAACATGCCTCTGTTGCCAAATCCCAAACCCTCAACCTGACAAAACCCCAAGCCCCCCACCCCCTAAACCCCTGGTCCTTAACCCTCAAACCCTAAACCCGAAACCCTAAACCCTAAACCCCAAACGCTAAGCCCCCACACAACCGTAACCTAAAATCTAAACCCTAAACCCTGAACCCTAAACCCTAAACGCTAAACCCTAATTCGGCGCACCGGTCTCTCAGTGGCCCGCATGTTCTCCAACGGAGAGCGATCATTGTACTGCATCGCCAGCTCATGGCCAACTTCGGAGAGGAAGCCTCCGCGCAACCAGTTTAGGGTTTACGGTTTAGGGTCTAGGGTCTTGGGTTTAAAAGTTTAGGGTTTAGGGTTTAGGGTCTAGGATTTAGGGTTTAGGGTTTCGCACCTGTTCGAGTTTAGGGTCGCCGGGGGCGGTTTAGGCAGGAGCCCTATTGCAACTGAAGGTATATCAGGGATATTGGGCCATCCGCGAAAGAACCGAAACCACAGGCCACAAACCAAGGATGAGGGCACGGGGCATTTGGAGACGCAACAGACTCTGACAGTTCAAAGGTGGCGTGGGTGTTGGCGGGGGGGGGGGGGGGAAGGGGGCCACCATGGCTCAACACAGAGGCCCCTAAACCCTAAACTCGAAACCCTAAACCCTAAACCCTAAACCCAATGCCCCAAAAATGGCTTAAGCGCTGGAACATGGCAGAGACACAATCCGCTTAACTCGGGGCATCTCTACCGGAGCACTTTCAGGCTCGCATAGGGGCTGTGGGTTTAGGGTTTAGGGTTTAGGGTTTAGGGTTTAGGGTTTAGGGTTTAGGGTTAGGGTTTGGGGTTCGGGGTTCGGGTTTTCGGGTGAAATAGCGCTTCGCTCCATGATCTACAGCCTTTGCTCTTCGTTCGGAGTCCTCATGCACCTTCACCCGAAGTCCCCATGCCCTAAACCCTAAACCCTGAGGCCTAAATCCCCAAGCCTTAAGCCCTAAACCCTAAACCCTAAACCCTAAACCCTAATTCCTAAACCCTAAAGCCTGGACCTTACTGCGGCCAGGGGGGCCGTTGTTGACACCCGGATGGCCGATGTCGTGGCCAATGGCGGCAATCAGAAGAGAAAACCTGCTTTACAGTTTAGGGTTTAGGGTTTAGGGTTTAGGGTTTAGGGTTTAGGGTTTAGGGTTTAGGGTTTAGGGTTTAGGGTTTAGGGTTTAGGGTTCATGGTTGGGGTGTTCCCGCTTATACTAGCAGTCCTTAATAGGGATTCCAGTACCCCCTACTATAATCCCTATGAAGGACAGTTAGTATAAGGGGAACATCCCAAAGTTTAGGGGTTGACGTGGGCTCTGCCATGTTTTTGTTACCTGAAGGTAAACCGAGATACCATGACAAGGGAGCCCGGACCTACTTGCTAGATGTCCAGAAAAAAGGAGCTTCAGGCAAGCTACCATCATCAGGAAACCATCTGGTGTGCTGTTTCTCCACCCTAAACCCTAAACCCTAAACCCTGAACCCTAAACCCTAAACCCTGAACCCTAAACTTTTAAGGCACATTCTTTCGCAGCAATCCAACCTGCGCCTTCGCAGGCATTTCACTCGACTTGGGAGCTGGGCAGTGGGTTGCCCGGCCAAGAGGAGGCTACTGTACTCAAATCTTCGGGTTTAGGGTTTAGGGTTTAGGGTTTAGGGTTTAGGGTTTAGGGTTTAGGGTTTAGGGTTTAGGGTTTAGGGTTTAGGGTTTAAGGGTTTAAGGGTTTAAGGGTTTAGGGTTCAGGGCCTCCAGGGGCTCCAACACCTCTAGGTTCGTTGAGGGCTCAACCTTTGCACCCGAACCACCCTAAACTCCAAACCCCTAAGCCCTAAACCCTAAACCCTAAACCCTAAACCCTAAACCCTAAACCCTAAACCCTAAACCCTAAACCCTAAACCCTAAACCCTAAACCCTAACCCTAAACCCTAAACCCCCCCACACCCCCCAAAAAAGCGAAAACATACGATGCTTTTCGGAAGGCCCCCCACCGCCCAAAAGAGAAGCTGAAGGGAGAGAGCGAAAAAAACCCTTAACCTCCAACCCTAAACCCTAAACCCTAAACCCGAAACCCTTAACGAGACGAATCCCGAGGCTGGGGCTCTTCTAGCTCTGTGAGGTAGCTTCCGGAGGCGATGCTCCGTAGAACCCGAGACCTTGAGGCGTTCACTCGGATTTGGGGTTTAGGGTTTAGGGTTTAGGGTTTAGGGTTTAGGGTTTAAGGTTTAGGGTTTAGGGTTTAGGGTTCACGTTTTGGGCCTAGTGCCCAGCATCGCTTCAGTTTACAGAGCAGCTGATCCTGATTCCCCGGTTTCGGGTCGAGGGCCGGGAGGAATGAGGTTCGAAAGCTTCGGGGTTTACAGGCCTTGAGGGGCTCGAAACCTTCACCCTAAATCTCTAAACCTTTAGAGTTTTTTTGGGGGGGGTCTTGGGGTTCTAGGGTTCTAGTGGGCGGCACACCAGCATCTTCGGACATGTCTGATTAGCATACGAACGTCAGTGCCCAAACTTTGGGGGGCCCTTTTGCTCATCTGCAAGTGCATGTAGGGTCTAGGGCTTAGGGTCCCTGCCTTACAGACCTCTCTCTTCTGTGAGGGGGGGCTGAGCTTGCAACACTGCGTGGAGAACGTCCACAGAGTGCGCAAAGCTGTGGAAGGGGACTGGCCTCAGGAACTCCGAACTCAGCGCAATTCTCAGGTGCGGCCCAAGGGTTTAGAGTTTAGGGTTTAGGATTTAGGGTTTAGGGCTTAGGGTTTAAGGTTCAGGGTTCAAGGTTTAGGGTTCAGGGTTTGGGGTCGAGGGTTGGGGCTTTCGGGATTTACAGTCTAGAGGTTGAGGCGCGAGTTCCAAGTCAACCCCAGAATGACTTTGACACGTGGTGTTTGGGATCATGAAAACCTTATGCTAACAGTCCTTAATAGGGACTATATTGGGGTGTACCATAATAGGGACTATATTGGGGTGTACTAGAAACCCCATTCAGGACAGCTGTCCGTGTAAGGGGAACATGCCAGCGTGGTGCACCTGAGGGCACGGCAGATACTCCTTCTCCACGGCTGTCGTAAACCTCTGAAACATGCCGACCTCGCGGGAGCAAACGCGTCAGCTTGGCATTAAACCCTAAACCCTAAACCCTAAACCCTAAACCCTAACTGCTAAGGCGGCATCGAAGAGCATCCCAAGCGAGGCCATGATGGGCCAGCATGGTTTATGAGAAAGCGAGATAAGCAAAAACCAGGGCGTGAGAGCGAGAGAGAGAGAGAGAGAGAGAGAGAGACACACACACACACACGCACACAAAAAAGAGAGAGAGAGAGACAGAGAGAGAGAGAGAGAAAGAGACAGAGAGAGAGAGAGACTTCAGGCAGAAAACCCTAAATCCTCCAGCCTCATCTCCCGTGTTCACGAAGCCCTCACCATCTTCGTGGAACTTGCAGACCGTGTACACTGCAAGGTTGACTCTCTGGTTCCTGAGCTGCTAGGGATTAGGGTTTAGGGTTTGGGGTTCAGGGTTTAGGGTTTAGGGGTTAGGGGCTAGGGGTTAGGGTTTAGGGTTTAGGGTTCCAGGTTTAGGGTTTAGGGTTTAGGGTTTAGGGTTTCGGGTTTCGGGTTTAGGGTTTAGGGTTTAAGGTTTAGGGGTTTAGGATCAGTGTTTAGGGTTTAGGGTGTAGGGTTTAGGGTTTAGGGTTCCGTGTTTAGGGCTTAGGGTTAAGGATCCCCCTTTCGACCCTCCAAATGAGAGCCCCACTCTGGCCATACAGTGGCAGCCTAGGGTCGGCTGCTTAAAGTTTAGGGTTTAGGGTTTAGGGTTTACGGTTTAGGGTTTAGGGTTTAGGTTTTAGGGTTTAGGGTTTAGGGCTCGAGGGTTTAGGCGGGTCCAATCAGGTAACCATGACCCTTAAACTCCAGTCAGCCCTAAACCCTAAACCCTAAACCCTAAACCCTAAACCCTAAACCCTAACTAAACCCTAAACCCTAAACCCAAAACCCAAAACCCTAAACCCTAAACCCCAAACCCCAAACCCGAAACCCTAAACCCTAAACCCTAAACCCTAAGCCCTACCCTCGGAGTGGCAGGTGCAAGCGAGGTGCTTCGAAAGGTTCAGGGCGTTGAAGTTCCAGGAAGCAAAGACCTGCCACGCTAAGGCTTCACGGGGTTTCAGGGTTTAAGGTCTAGGTTTAGGGTACTCCATTCTGTGAAATCTCCTTATCTCACTTCAAAACCCTCAACCCTCTACCCTCTACCCTCAACCCTAAACCCTAAACCCTAAACCCTAAACCCTAAACCCCTAAACCTAAACCCTAAACGCAAAACCCGGAACAGGTCCTGAGTTGAGGGCTGGATGGAGGCGACCCTCAATTTGGGCAGCCCTAAACCCAAGGCTCTGAACCGTCCTCTTTGCATTTCCATCTGACTACTCATCACTGAGCTGATAAGAAAGGCAGCTATAGTTATAGATTAGAATGAGGGTTTAGGGTTTAGGGTTTAGGGTTTAGGGTTTAGGGTTTAGGGTTTAGGGTTTAGGGTTTAGGGTTTAGGGTTTAGGGTTTAGGGTTTAGGGTTAGAGTTCTTCTAAGCCTCCGTGCAACTACTTATCAACCTCCAAGTAGCCCCCCCCACCCTGATCGCGCACCTCCTGCGAAACCCCAAAGTCCTCCAAGCGAACGGAGGGCACCCCGATCGCCTTGGCGCCAAGCTAAGGGCGCAGCTGCTAGGAACCCAGCCGATGGCAAGGGGTTTCGGTTTTTAGGGTTTAGGGTTTAGGGTTTAGGGTTTAGGGTTTAGGGCTTAGGGATCCCACAAGACCCCAATGAAACTTGGAGTACGCTTGCAGTGGAGCTCTGGAGCCTCAGTTACTGCGGCAAGTCATGCCAGAGGTGTGCCTTGGAGACGGAAGCACTAAGACTAAGACCCCGAAAAACCTTACGCCAATCTTCCATCATCGCCACACAATATGGGGGGGAAACCTGATGGTCCTTTTTTTGAAGGAGGGAACCCTAAACCCCAAATCCTAAAGCCGAAGCCCTAAACCCCAAAGCCTAAACCCTAACCCTAAGCCGTAAACCGCAGGGGGGAGCAGGACACCAAACATCGCCGAGGCACCTTCTTTCTCTGGCCCACACCGGCCGAGCCTGATATCCTCCTCGTGTTCCTCCCCTGGTGGCGCAGCGAACCCAAAACCCTGAAACCCAGAAACCCCAAACCCTGAAACCCCCAGCCCTGAAACCCCAAGCCCTGAAACCCTAAACCCTGAAACCCAAACCCAGAAACCCTGAAAGCCTGAAAACCCTAAACCCTAAACCTCCCACCCGCACTCCCAAAGGCCCGAATAGGGGTTTAGGGTTTAAGGTTTAGGGTTTAGGGTTTAGGGTTTAAGGTTTAGGGTTTAGGGTATTCTACATAGAGACCTCTTGAACCCAACCAGGGAAAACATTATTGAAGTTCGCAAGGGCCCAGATACGAAGCGGATAAGGCTCCCAAACCCTAAACCCTGAACCCTAAACCCTAAACCCTAAACGCCAAACCCTATACCCTAAACCCTAAACCCTAAACCCTAAACCCAAAACCCTAAACCCTAAACCCTAAACCCTAAATCCTAAACCCTAAACCCTAAACCCTAACCCTAAACCCTAGACCCTAGACTCTAGACCCTAGACCCGAAACCCTAAACCCTAACCCCAAACCCTAAACCCGGACTTGAAGCCCACAGGATCTCGTGAAAACAATCCCGAAGGAACATGTCGGGAGATAGGGTTTTAAGGCCATTGCGACGTTTCAGAATCTCGGGTGTACAGATCTTAGCAGCTGCACAAACAACCTTCACCCCGCCCAAGCCCTTCTCATTCGTGCACTTCCAACCAAAAAAATCGAAAAACCCTAAACACTAGATCCTAAACCCCCAAACCCCTAAAGCCTAAACCCCTAACCCCCAAAAACCTAAAACTCTAAACCCAAAACCCAAAACCCTCACCCCCAACCCACTAAATCCTAAAAACCCTAAACCCGAAACCCAAAACCCTAACCCCCTAAACCCTAAACCCTAAACCCTAAAAAACCCTGAACCCGAAGCCTTCTTCTCCGCAATGTTGGCACCGTGCATCATGGACAGGATGCCAAGGTCTTCGTCTCTCATGTCCTGGAAGGGTTTAGGGTTTAGGGTTGAGGGTTTAGGGTTTAGGGTTTAGGGTTTAGGGTTTAGGGTTTAGGGTTTAGGGTTCAGGGTTTAGGGTTTAGGGTTTGGGGTTTCGGGTTTCGGGTTTAGGTTTAGGGTGGGCCTTGAGGCCCTTAGAGGTTTAGGGTTTAGAGTTTAGGGTTTGGGGTTAGTTTAGGGTGTAGGGAATCGGGTTTGGAGTTTAGGGTGTGGGCTCTGTGGGCTGTATTCGGGGCTTAAGGCAAAGAATTCTTGGAGCCCCAGAATCAGCCCGAAACCCACAAATCCCCGACGTTGTGGCACCAGAACCGATCTTCTTCTTCTTCTTCCTCTTCTTCTTCTTCTTCTTCTTCTTCTTCGTCTTCTTCTTCTTCGGGGCTTGAAGGGTGCAGGCGCACCATCCGCGCACAAGGGGCGCCCTATCCACGTCAAGGTCGGCGTGAGACGTGTATCCCCAGGAAGAAAGCCCCGACCCCTAAGAACAGCTCTTCAGTGCCCCCTCAGAGAACTCCAACGTCTGGGCTGTTCTTCCGGAGATGTTGTAAAGTGTGCTTGCCAGAAGCGTGAATCAATTTCCCCCTCACAACCACAATCAAGGTAAGACAGTGTAACAACCTAACCATCTCTCGCTGTCCCTAACCTGAGGGAGGGCTGCCTATAAAGACTTTTTTTTGCCGGCGATTTTGGGGTATAGGGATAAGCTTAGGGGCATACCGGGAGTGTTCATGATGGGTTTTATAGGGGTATGTACCCGAAACCCTAAACCCTAAACCCTAAACCCTAAACCCTAAACCCTAAACCCTAAACCCTAAACCCTAAACCCTAAACCCTAAACCCTAAACCCTAAACCCTAAACCCTAAACCCAAGCTGAACCCCGGTACGCTGGCGCTTCAGGGCTTCGGTTCATGCCCAGGGAGCTCGATACCCCTCTAAGTCACCCTAACTACGGCAAACGACCCAGGGTTTAGGGTTTAGGGTTTAGGGTTTAGGGTTTAGGGTTTAGGGTTTAGGGTTTAGGGTTTAGGGTTTGGGGTTGAGGGTTGAGGGTTTAGGTTTAGGGTTTAGGGTTTAGGGTTTAGGGTTTAGGGTTTAGGGTTTAGGGTTTGGGGTTTAGGGCTTAGGGCTTAGGGTTTAGGGTTTAGGGTTTAGGGTTTAGGGTTTAGGGTTTAGGGTTTAGGGTTTAGGGTCGAGGAGATTTCGAGTGTGTGTTCAGGCTGAGGGGTGGCCTGATTCTGACAGCGCCAACCGGGTCCTCCGTCTTATCCGGTACATTTCTGGAAGTTTGAAGGTCGGCGATAATGGCCAGCTTCTGGACGACCTGGCAGGAAAAACAACAGCTTAACCCTAAACCCTAAAGAGCCCCTTTAAGGGTACATGCCGGGTAAGAGGGCATGTACGGCACCTCTTCGTCGGGAGTTGGCCAATTAGGTACCTCATATCCCCAAACCCTAAACCCCAAACCCTAAACCCCAAACCCTAAACCCCAAACCCTAAACCCCAAACCTTAAACAAAATCCCCAAACCCTAAACCCCAAACCCTACACCCTAAACACTCAAAAGGCTGAAAACCGCGAACCCTGAACGACCCAAACTCAAGGCCTTCTCCAAGAGCTTCATCTCGTTGGAGCTGTCGATGTCGGTGACCTCCCACAAGCAAACAGGAAAACCGGAAAAGTTTGAGAGAGCCAGACTCGGTACTTGGGATTTAGGGGCCCTTATAAGAACACACATAAATATCATGGAATGTATACCTAAATAAATGTGTACATACATATACACACATATATGTGTGTATATATATATATATATATATATATATTTGGGGGGACCTAATTCCGCAGCTTCGGATTTGGGGTTTGGGTGTGTCCAGGGCTGAGGTTTCAGAACTCAACGGTCTCGAGGCACAGGCCTCGCACAAGGCTTGCGGATGTGGATGAAAGGAGGCGGCTCGATCGTAAGCTTCAGGATTTAAGGTTGAGGGCTTAGGGTTTAGGGTTTAGGGTTTAGGGTTTAGGGTTTAGGGTTTAGCGTTTAGGGTTTAGGGTTTAGGGTTTAG